GGTGTCACCCGGGCCAGATAATGGCTGTGCCCGGGGCGGGCCGGGCACTGGGGTTCACTTGTTATTATCTCATAACAAAAAAGTCCGACATCAGGATTCCCTCCACATCTCAACCCGGGGTAATGAGGCCATTACACAGCTTCAACTTTGCTGGAAACTGCTCCAGCGTCCCATCTCAAGCCTCTGGTTCAAACCTGGTCCAGCGTCCCATTGAATTGATGCCACCAAAAGGTTAAACTACTAAAACTAGATTTTTTTTTTTATTATTTTTTTTTTTTCAGGTTAAACTAGATCTATTCAGGTGAAGGAGGTAGGTTTGGGCTACTGCTGCTGATCACACTGCAAAGTGCACCAGGTTCAAACCAGGCTCGGACCAGGTTCTGCGTACCTGCTGCTGATCACACTGCAAAGTTGACCGGGACAGGAAGGACCGATTCTCGTTGCTGTGAGCTACCTGTAGGACCTGATATGGCCTGGCCATACGTCCTACCGTCTTCACGGAATACAGCGTGTACGGTCATTATTGCTGTATCTAGAGCCGAAGTTGCACCAATACAGCTATAATGACCGCACGTTGTAATCCGGTGAAGACCGCCCCTTTCGGCAAATCAGCGCATCCAGACACAGATCCATTGTGTCCCCCAACGGCCAGCCGTTTACAGCCAGCAAGTACAGCCGCCTGCTTGGGTTACGGGCAGGATGTCCGGGGAACGGGGAACTTATAAAAGTAGCGACGGTTTTAAAACACTGGTCCGTGAGCAAGGCGCGCAGGGTAACCCGCCGCTCGTTTCTGGGTGCACAGGCCTCTGCTCTGCGCCCAGTTAAATTCATTCATTTGACCCACCAGTCGTTTCTTGGATGTACGGGCCTGCCCGCGCCCAATTAAATTCATTCATTTAAGCCGCCGCTCATTTCTTGGATGTACAGGCCTGCCTCCACCTAGTTAAATTCATTCACGAATCATGATTAAAAAAAATGTCAGAGGTCCGTAAAAGGGTCTCTCAGACCGGTGGTTTGAGAAGAAGAATGTAGTTCTGAGCATGTTATCCTGTGAGCGGAGCTACCGTTATCGGCGCGAATACCCTTACAAGGGTATCCTGGTTTTTGCAGCTGACAGGAACAATGGGTGTGGTTTAAATAAGCCGTGCGGGACCCGTCCTGACTAAGTTAGGGGGTATGTGGGCGCGCAATATTAAGGCGCGCGTGTGATTTTTCTAATCGAGTGGGGGGCCGGTCCAGTCAGCCGACACGGATCGTGCCATAGGTTCGTTAAGGGGCAAAGGTTTGTTCTTGGTTGGCATGCACGACCAACAGTAGGGCTGGCGCGCCGGTAGGCGCGCAGGTTGGCCGCGATGGGGTC